ATATCTCTCATTATGGGTATAGTTTTCACCTGATCGAAAAAAACATTTATGTTTCGCTTCTATCAGAAAGTATTATCATAAGTTAAAGAAAAATAAAGAAGAATAAATAATTTTACCAAATTCCGGTATTGGAGATTGTACAAGGAATGGATGTATCTTTTCTTTGCCAATTTCTCATCTTTGTTCAAATGCTTCCAATAGCTATATGTACTTCCCATGTTTATCACTTTGTTTGCATATATCTTCCATGTATAGCTGCACATATATTGTAATCATATAATTTAAACTATCTTTAGAAATCATTTTTCGGAATCTAATTTTACTCGGATAACTAAATTACTCGTTTGAGTAATTAAATAAGATCTAAATGTTCTAAAAACTATTCAAAATCACCAAAACAGATTTAAAACTGTCCAAAACTACCCAAATTATCCTCAATTACCTAAACCTAAATCCACACTTACTCAGTCTAGTGACAGTTTGGAGTGATTATAAGTAATCCGAATTATCTATACCATATCCAATACCCAAATTACCGACTCGGTTTTTTAAAGATACACCTCTAGTAAGAATTTTAGATATCGAATTGCCTGCTATTACCCAACCTTTAACCCCAAATAGGCAGCATTACTAATATATACCATTCGTTTATGCGTTGCAACCCTGCAGCCGAAAATATGTTCCAGCAATTATGATCAGTTTTGCATTTCTCAAAGAAATCGGCAATCTTATCGCTCGATTCTTCGCCATTGCTCGGATCAATGTGGAATCCAGAGATACCATCAACAATAATCTCAGCAGGACCGCCTTGGTTCGTGGCAAATGTGACCAAACCACAACTCATGGCTTCAAGGACGGTAAGACCAAAGGCTTCATAATGTGCAGGTTGCACAAAAACACCTCTTGTATCTGCAATACATCGGTAAAGTTCACCGTTGCTTGTTCGATCGGTTTGAGCTTCAATCCATCTAAACTGACCCTTGAGTTGGTATTTCTCAATCAGAGAATGCATCTTCTTGATCTCTGAGATCTCTTCTCGGTCTTTAGACTTGGAAGGGTCGAAGAATCCTCCTACGATTACAAGGTTGACTAAGTCTCGTAGCCTCTTGTTGTTGGCATACCACTCAGTTAATCCGGTTAAGTTTTTCACAACATCAAGCCTTGCCATTGAGAAGATGATCGGTTTCTTCTTGTCCACCAAATAACCACTTTTCCATAAGAAAATATTGGTTAGATTTAACCATTGACCCAAAAAACAACCGATTAGTCTTTTTAAAATTTGCAGAAATGTTTATAAAATAACTAGAAATGATTTTACATGTAAACGAAAAAACGCGGAAATTAGCGAATACTTGAAACATCTAGTATAATGGTTATGTAAATGAGTAGGAAAAGTGAAATAAGGAATAGAGACGTACATGTGTTCATCATTCTCATTTTGGCTATACAACAGTTCTTCAATGGCAGGGTAAAACTTGGTGAATCTCCGGTCTTGCTCGGTAAAAGGGAAGTAGATGGAGTCATCCACGCCAGGAGCCGCGATGTTGAACCTCAGATCAAAAACATTGATACCAGAGACAACTCTGTATAGCCCCGGGAGTGTGAAGCTCATGTGGCTCTCGTATTGTCCCGCCCTCTCTTTGCTATCAAAATCGACCGAAAACAGATAAAATCATATGATACTTGCTTGCTATGTATGATATAAATATATATTTTCCTAATGAATTACCTTCCAGCGATCTCTTGATAGGTGCTGGCTATGATGAAATCAGCTGAGTTCATAGATATTAAATCTGCCGTAAATTGAGTAGAGAAATGATATTTAGGATCAAACTCTGTCCATTTGATGTCGGAGTCCTCATATTTAGTCTTCTCCAGGGCATGTGCAATAGTTGCCTGGATATATTTCATATCAATTTTGTTTTATTTGACAAAACATGAATACTTTGTTGGTCGAAATTCAACAAATTCAAAGGTAGGGAACCTGAGTAATTCCAAGCTTACTGGCCATGAGTGATGCTACCAAGTTTCCATCAGTATAGTTTCCGATTATTAGGTCAGGTTTTCCCTCCAAAATATCCAAGATTTTTGTTGTTGCCTCCTACGCATATTATTTACAATTACTAAATGAAATTTCTAGAAAAAAAAAACAAAGAAATTTGGTAAAAAAACAAAAATATCACCCCTTCTTCTATGTAATTGATTTTACCTTAGTGAACCTTTCTAGGTAGGGGTAGATATCAAAGCGAGAAACCCAACGACGTAAAATCCCATTCTCTGTTACGAATGGAATTCGAAGGATATTTGAATGTTTGGTACCGATAATTGGTTCGAATTCTTGGTTGCATTTAGTATCTTTAGCGTCTGGGATTAATCGAGTTACCTAATATCAAAATCTCAACATCAATATTACGTTAACTGAGGAAAAATATATAAAATTAGGTTTTGCTTGATAATGTCTATTGCGTTTCATTTATTGACGTAAAAGACATCCTCTATATATTAATTGTTATAAAGATACACTAACAATAAACACACTTGATAATTTAAAATAATTAAGTTATATTCACACAATGTTTTTTTTACGTATTA